TGTACGGATCGATCTTGATGGCCGTCACTTTCAACCCGAGCATCTTCAGCAGCAATCCCGTCGACGAGGCTGGCGTTCGAGAGATGAAGAGGGAGAGCAAGGACTTAGCGCTGTTCAAGCTGGATGGGCTGCCACTGCCATTGCCACTGTCATCGCCACTGTCACTGCCACTCCCACTCCCACTCCCGCTCCCACTGCTACTGCCACTCCCACTCCCACTCCCACTCCCACTCCCACTCCCACTCCCACTCCCACTCCCACTCCCACTCCCGCTCCCGCTCCCACTGCCACTGCCACTGCCACTCCCACTCCCACTCCCACTCCCACTCCCGCCCTCACTCCCAACCCCACTCCGACTGCCCACGATGCTCACCGATGACGCCCTTGCCGATGCCGGAGATGACACCACCAGAGACGACAATGTACTTCATGGCGCGTCGCTTTTGCTACTGGCCGATGGCGATGAGGACGACGACGATGACGATGAGGCTGGACAGTGTCAGTGCTTCTCTGATCTCGCTCGCAGTCCCGCGCCGACACTGAGCGCTGCAGTGAAAGGTGCGCGTGCTGTACGCAGTCGCACCGACTGTCGAGCGTAAGCGTGCAGTCGGAAGAGAGGAGAGGAGAGGAGAGGAGAGCGATGGAGCTTCGTGCGTGCGTGCGTGCGTGCGTGCGAGTTGAGATCGAGTTTCGCGTGAATGGTGGAGCGAAGGCGTACAAGTGCGAGTTGCGAGTTGCGAGTTGCGAGTTGCGAGTTGCAAGTGCAAGTCGTCGATGACGATAGATTTTTTGCTCGTGTGCGGAACGCGTAGTGGACGACGAATTTTGTATGGAATCACGTGAATGTTGGATGGCGAGGCGAATGTGAATGTGAATGTGAATGTGAATGTGAGTGTGAATGTGAATGTGGGTTGGGTGTGAGTTTGAACATGAATGTGAAAATGAATCGAATCAAATGCGAACATGAACACCATCTCCATCTCCACCATCTGCCGACTCGTGACTCGTGACTCGTGACCGCATCCAACTCGTGACTGTTAACTGCGCGTCGTTCGTCGCCGTCGAAAAAATTTGAGTTCGTGCGTCGCGAAGTCGCCAAGTCGCGAGTGTTGGCATGCAGCACGCGCGCGTGCGCATCTCACATATGTACTGCTGCTTGCACGCGTGATGCCTGCCTGCCTGCGCGACGCGTGCATCAGTGCCTCTGCCCTGCTGCTTGCTGCATGCGCGCGCCTGGCCTGCTTGAATTGCGCGGAACATACGCGTCGCGCCAATTTAACTTTGAGCACCACTCCCGGCACGCGTCGTGCGAGTCAGCGAGTGCGAAAGCGAGTGTCGAGGCATACATCTTCGCGACATCACGTACCCCGCGATGCCTGCACCTGCACCTGCACCGCTCACTGGAGCGTTCACGTGCGCGCTGAGGCTCGCAGGCAGGGATGGCAAATAATCACGAATATAATCGCGAATAGCAACACGTAACTGCAGGTCGGCCTTACCAACCTGATGAGGAAGCTCGATCGATGCACAATCACGTGAATGAAGCAACCCTATATATACACACTCACGAGTCACGACTCGACTTGCAGGACAAGCCGTGGTCTGGCTGCAACGCATCCAAATGTACATTTCAGCACGTGTCTGGTCTGTGTGTGACGTGTGGGTGCATGCTGCATGCAAGCACAGCAAGCGACAAAGCAAGGAGCGGAGCGTGTCGCGAATCAAGATTCCGATTTGAGCTACAACAGTATATAGATGCTGTGTTCAAGATCATTAGTGATGCCCCATTCGCGTAAAGGCTTTATAGGCGTACGCCGTGCTGTACCGTTTGCTCAATTACACCGTCACGCGCGCACGCACATCACGCAACTTGGCTTTTTCTAGGTCAAAGGAGAGATGAGGGCCATGCAATCGTGAATCGTGAATCGTGAATCGTGAATCGTGAAGGATCGCCGGCGCATGCTGATCCAGCAGGGCTACACGCACACGCACACGCACACGCCTGCGCCTATACCGCGTATATCCACGCGCGAGCTCTTTGTCGATCGTGAGCCGCGCAGCGCGCACCGCACGCGTCCGGCGGAGCGACCGCGGTGTGGCTTGCGTGTGGCTTGTATAGGTGCATGCAGCTCGCGCGGTTGATCCATGCAGCTGTATGGGCATACATAGATCGATAGTGATATAATAGTCACGAGTCACGCACGACTTCGCGATCACAGACTGCGCCCGCGCAATTCGTCGCTACTTGCTCATCCCCTTTGTCCATCGGGCAGAGACATGCTGCTGCTGCTGCGCTCACCCTCCACTGGCTCAAGATCACCGTCGAGATGCCCATCATGATGGCTCGTCATGCCATGCCACAGCTTCTTCCTTTGAGGCGGTGAGGTAACGAGATGCGACTCGGTCTGCGCAGAAATCGCCAATCTACAGTAAAAGCCCCCGAAGAAGACGCGCGGGAATGATGATGAGCTGGACGCGGAGCAAAGGGAAAAGGAATTGAGCCGCGGTGTTGCACGCTGCTTGCTGATGCTGTCCACATGCTGCTGCACTCAGACTCGCGGGTGCTACGATCGAGTGGCTGGTGAAGTGCGAGCGGCGCAATCAAAAGCTAAATTGCGAGTCAGTCGACGACGCCTTGCGATGCGAATCATTGCTGGATCGTGCGTGATGACCCGCACTGCGCCGACAACAGCAATCGTGAAGATGAGACGGAGATGGATGGATGGATGACATGCAGACACGAGAGCTATTGTCCTCCTCATCCCGGCCGCGCTGGCTGGCTGCTGCTGCTGAACATCCAACACCCGCGGCGTCTGTATTCAACGAGTCTGCGTCCATATACATGCAGTCACAAGTGCACGCAAGGGCCCGCCCAACCCATCAACAAGCTCATCGCGCGATATGTGATCGAGATCAGGCTTGAGCTCATAAATCCCGCGGCCACGCCCTCGCCGAGTCTAGCGCGCACTCACGACTGCCCTCTCGATACCCACCCCGCTGAAAGGAAGGCCATCGCCATCGCCATCGCTATCGCCATCGCCATCGCCATCGCTATCGCCATCGCCATCGCCATCGCCATCGCCATCATCCATCCAATCCTCATCCACGACACGACACGTGTGCGCCACTGTCACTTCGCTGCTCGGCACTTCAAGCATCAATCTTCGGCCCCCCACACTGCACCTCACTACTGTTCATCATGACTCGCACGCACGCTTCGCCCAAGTCGTCGTCATCGACGCAAAAGCATTTAAGAAAGGAATGGAGGGGAAGGAGCGGATCTCTGGATTTCCTTCACAAACCAGATCTGACTAGAATCGCTTGCAACAGCACCGACAGCATTGCAGCAGCAGCAGCAGCAGCAGCAACAACAACATCCACAGGATCGTCATCCTGCATTCCCAGATCACCTAGCTCACCTCGCTTCACCGCATCTCTGCACGCTGCTCAACGTAGGAGGAGATCCTCAGCTGCTCGCCTCGGCTTGACCGTTCACACCCACACCCACACCCACGCGCAGAGTCACACTGCACCTGCCAGTCCCACTGACATTGCCAGTCCGACCGACGAGGCGCAAATGTTCTCCACCATCCTCATCGCTCCAATCTCTTCTCGCGCTGCTCGCGTATCGCCATTTGGTAGTCGCGCTCCTCCTCGACGTCAACGCGAAGACAGCAGCAGCAGCAGCAGCAGCGTCGCAAACAACAAGGACGACGACGACGACGCCATGTCTTGCAACGATTCCTTCACAGGATCTCCACCACCATCCGTAGCTGCATCCGACTCCGCCATGTCGAGCAAGAGCAAGAGCCAGCAGCGCGCATCCAGCAGATCCGCTTCCCCCATGGCGCCAGCTTACGAAGCGCGCACAAGCAAGAGCAAAGTGACCTCTTTCGGCAGCGGCAGCGAAAAGGATGAAAAAAAGAGCGGTGGAATGGGTTACGAGTCGGACGAGGACAGGGGATGGGTACTTCACCTTCTACGCGACGATGAGGAGCGCGGCGATCTGCTGCACTTGCCCCCGTCCTACGACAGCTTGACCAAGGAAGAGCAGGTGAGTTTGACCGATGGATGCAAGCGCGTTGCGATTGCGTCGTCCACGTTGCTGCGCGCGAGCTCGCGCTGACTTGGCTGGGCCGGCGCTCCTCCTCCTTTCCTGCTCTGCTCTGCGATAGCGCGCCAGGCCTATGCTATCCTCGTCTTCCGAAGCCTCTTCTGCCTCTGCTTCTGCGTCCAATTCCAATCCTTCTCGCCCATCCCTGTTGGCGCGCGCCAAGGCGGCTCGCAAGGCCAAACACATGGCCAAGGTGGAAGCAGCTCACGATGCCTGGCAAGCGTACGGCTTGGATACGAGGGCGATGGAGAGGAGCGGTAAGAAGATGCCGCCATTCTTTCTCAACCCGCCAAAGTGCAGCAATGTGGACATGAAAAAGATGCTGAGGGAGCAGGGATTGTGATCTGATTAGACTGATCGGTGGGGTTAGCCCAACGAAACAATGGTCTCTTTTACCGCCCGCAATCGCATTCACGGTGCACCGTCCATCCAATCACACGCTCGAGCTGGACTGGAGCTGTGCCGGATCATTCAATCGTGCTAGCAAGCCACGACAGCCATCGAGCAAGCAAGTCTTTCGCTCATCGCGGCGCTCTCACTGCTAGCTTCTCCTCTTCTCGCGTCAAAAGTTCTCTCGCCGTGCAGCACCAGCAGCAGCACCGCTCCTTTTTCGCACACCCCCCGACCAAAAGAGACTCTCGACCTTCTCATTCTTCGCTCGGAAATCGCTCGTTCGAGACGATAAGCGATTCGATATCTCCCTTCTGATGTTCATGTAGTACCCCGCAGCCACCATCCTCGCCCCTCGCCCTTGCCCCTCTCGAAGTGTACGCGATTCTTGCTAATTCGATCATCATCATCATTCGTGATTGCCAACATCGTCCATCTCGCATCCTTGCTCATATCCTTGCAAGGCGCACTCGCACTCGCACTCGCACTCGCACTCGCACTCGCACTCGCACTCGCACTCGCACGTCAGCCGCAGTGCTCGACCCTTTTCTCGATGCGCCGGGATGGAAAAGTTGCAACGCTTCCGCGAATGCGCTGGCTGGAAACATTTCACATTTGCGTCCGTGCGCACGCTTTTGCTTGCAAAAAGGACTTGCGGAATCTTGCGATTCGCACGCACACCGCAGCCATTGAATGATGCCGCACACCGCAGCCATTGAATGATGCGCTTGCTTGCGCTTGATTTGCGACTTTGAGTGACCTAAGACTCACAACCTGACTGACCCGGACTCAGACTCTCTTTTGTCCATCTCGTACGCGTGCAGCGCGCCGGCGGGGCATACTGCTGGACGCCATGCAGCATGCACGCGCGCGCACCGCGACCGCGGCAGCCGTTGTTTTTTTTGGCCCCCGCCCCCACCCTTTGTCACGTAGGCCACGCGCAGAGCATCAAAGCGCAGAGCGCGCGCGCGCGCGTTTCTTTTGCCTCGCACGGACTGGACTCGCAACCGGCACGGCACGCGCGCACGCCACGGCAAGCGGAAAGAGAAGAGCCGGTGTGCCGGTTGTGCCGCGCGCGCGGTACGTGGTCCAAGAGTCGTCGTGAGTCGGAGCACATCAAAATATGCGGCTGGCTGCAGCAGGCGGGCACATATGCTGTCAGCAGCAGCAGCAGCAGCAGCAGCAGCAGTCCGTTCCCTGCATGAACAAGCCATCATATCCGCGAGTGCGCGAGCAGCGTCGTCAACGAGTAATCAAGAATAATAATCAAAAGTATTTGTACCCCCCCCCCCCCATGCACCACACCGCTTATTGCTCGGCTGCCATGCAGGCCAACCCCGCATCGCATATACAGTATAGCCACGCAAAATAAAGCTCATGTTGAGTCACAGTCACAATCACGAATGCATGAATCGTGTGCGCGAACAACATCTGAGCTCTCTCCACATTCCGTGATTCTTGTGATTCTCAACGAACGCAAAGCGAACCACCATCAATCGAGTGCACGGCGACGGCGACGGCGCACAGCAGTCCATCAAGACCAACACGCACGCCAACATCAAGCAGCGCAAGTCACAGTTCACATTCCAACATGGTTCCTGCGCCCACCACCAACGCCACTGCGCCAGTGCAGGCCAAAGCTCATCCGCATGCTCAGAACGATCAGCAACCTCGCGCTGATGCTCCTGTCCCCACGTTCAAGTTCAGCGAGCCTCCAAAGGTGCGTGGAGGGGGGAAATGCTGCGCCTGTGTCTTGTGTCCACCCCGCTCAATTTTCGACTTTTTGCCTGCCTGCCTGCCTGCCTGGCCAGTTCAAAGATGCAGAAGCGGAGCGAGAGCATAGAAAGGAGCGTCTGGCCATGGCTTACCGCGTCTTTGGCAGGCTCGGGTGAGCAGACAGCAGCAGTCGCAGCAGCAGCAGCACTCCCTCCCCGCTCCGCCCCCTCTAGCATGATGACGTATTTGCTAAATTCCCTCCCTCCCCTCCGCTCAATCACTCTCGGTCCCCTGCCGCCGCTCCACGTCACCACAGCTTCGAAGAGGGAGTGGCGGGCCACTTGACCTACCGCGATCCCATCATCACCAACGCGTTCTGGGTCACCCCCTTTGCGCGCCCATTCAGCCTCATGCAGGCTTCCGATCTGCTCCTCGTAGCGCACGACGGCAAGGTCATCCTCGGTGGCAAGCCGGACAATCAGGTCTACAATCGCGCAGCCTTTGCTATTCGTGAGCCATGCGCATACATGCCTGCCTGACCTTGCCTTGCGTATCCCATTGCGCGCATGAAGCTCAACCCCCCCCCCCCCCCCCCCCCCCCCCCCCCCCCCCCCCCCCCCCCCCCCACGCTCGCA